GTAGAACAATGGTAACAACACTGACGATGCTCTCAGACCCTATAGAAATTGTAGAAAATTACCTTTGGTGGATTCCAATCCGTTGGGTGACTGGACAGAGTCTTATTATCGTCGACTCTTTCAAGGACACCAGACTGGCTCCCGAGGTGACATATGTAATACGTCCGGTAATAGGTAATTGCTCGGCAATGTTGACGTAATAAACATTCTCTCACACATCCAATGTAAGAGGAGTTAGCAAGCACGCGGAAAACTCCAGTCTGTAAACGAAATCCCTGCACGTACTTTACCGAATTCACGTACATTACATCACCATCCGACACGCTCGCACTTAGAAGGACCAAGGCGGGCATAGTCAACGCAATGATTCCCCGTACAAGCATCGTCACAAAATGGTGTACTAAAATAGAACTGATTTTGGTCATATCACATTATCGTTTGATCCTGATTTTAAATAACTCCTTTAGTGGACAAATAATTTCCAGAATTAAAAGAATCCCTTTTCATGAAGTATATTGACAATGGACACCAGTCCTCCACTACGTCGATCTCCTCCGTGTACACTTATTAACTTCCGCGAACGATGTCATTAGACCTGTGGGTTATTTTTTAACGCTAGTACATCACTACTGCACGGTTCCCTCCTGAATAGTGACAACGTGGTCAAGAAACCAGAATACAATGAACTCCCTTTCTTTAGCTGGCCCAGTCCGTGACTTGTGACGAAAATCCTTCAACACAAAAGGGTTTATTCAAATAAAACAATAATGTAACGATTAAGCAGTTGAAGTAAATGTCTAGACATGCATAATGATAACTTCAAACATGCTTTATGTTAGTAAATTTAATAAGAAAAAAGTATATCAAATATAAAGATGACCATAAAGAAATACTTTTCAGGGAAATCAAACACCCTTTAAGATATTGTTCAAAGAAAGCGGATGTTCATAAATCGATATTGCTCATGGAAAACAAATGCTCATAAACCAATACTGTTCAAAGAAACGTTTACAAAACAATACTGTAGAATAGTATCGATTGGACACTAAGGCCGTTTTCCGATAACGAGAGGGTGACTAGGTACGGTACATATGTGCAGAATTACGGGGGAGAAATGCTAGCGTATTAGTTGGTATTACATGGCATAATAATATCGGTGGACTTCTAAATCAAATCAAGGATAATGTGGCACTATGTTCGCTAATAATCAAGTGTTTCCAAGTTGCAGAGATTATCTGATCCCGGATTCTAACGTGTTGGAAGATTCGGTGAAATTTGAAGTCTCATTTATCGACAAAGAAAACGGAAATAGGGAGACACTTGTCATTGAAACGTACACGCATTCGGCACCTATATTCATCCATTTTAAAATATAAACACATAATAACTATTTCATCAAAATTTTGAAAATAAACATAAACGTTTACAGTGACTATATAGTTCATATAGATCTGATGTACATGTATGAAGACACTTTCTGAAAACAGTGTTTCTAGAAACAGTAATTTGTTCTCTCCACGTCCTAAAGTTTTAGCTGTGACAGATATAAGCGATAATAACCACATTTATTTGGTTTGATTCCCCATAGGGCATTTGTTTTTTTTTAAACTTTCTAGTTGTTAATACATATATCTCAATCTACTTAGTAGCATATGAATAAACCATCTCACAACAGGAAATGTCACTCTGTCACATTGCTTATTAATTACTTTTATAATTTTTGGGCTGTTTAATCTGTCCTCAGCAAATTTACAAACATAATTTTACAATCGTCCGGTCACAGACAACATCAAATATTTGTTCATGACGGAGTAAAACTTTCCGTAACCGACAATAAAGAAATCAAGAAGGAAGGAGGCTAGGTACTGTATCCACAGCTAATATGTAGGATTGAGCGAGTGGAACGCATCCACATGAAACATTCCACATTGTCTGTGTGTAACGCATCCACATAAAACATTCCACATTGTCTGTGTGTAACGCATCCTCATAAAACATTCCACATTGTCTGTGTGTAAAGCATCCACATACAACATTCCACATTGTCTGTGTGAAACGCATCCACATACAACATTCCACATTGTCTGTGGGGAACGCATCCACATAAAACATTCCACATTGTCTGGGTGTAACGCATCCACATACAACATTCCACATTGTCTGTGTGTAAGGCATCCACATACAATATTCCACATTGTCTGTGTGTAACGCATCCACATAAAACATTCCACATTGTCTGTGTGTAACGCATCCGCATACAACATTCCACATTGTCTGTGTGTAACGCATCCTCATAAAACATTCCACATTGTCTGTGTGTAACGCATCCACATAAAATATTCCACTTTGTCTGTGTGTAACGCATCCACATAAAATATTCCACATTGTCTGAGCGTGATGCATCCACATAAAACCTTCCACATTGTCTGTGTGTAACGCATCCACATACAACATTCCACATTGTCTGTGTGTAACGCATCCTCATAAAACATTCCACATTGTCTGTGTGTAACGCATACAGATAAAATATTCCACATTGTCTGTGTGTAATGCATCCACATAAAATGTTTCACACTGTCTGTGTGTAACGCATCCACATAAAACATTCCACGTTGTCTTTGTGTAACGCATCCACATAAAATGTTCCACATTGTCTGTGTGTAACGCATCCACATACAACCTTCCACATTGTCTGTGTGTAACGCATCCACATAAAATATTTCACATTGTCTGTGTGTAACGCATCCACATAAAACATTCCTCATTGTCTGTGTGTAACGCATCCACATACAACATTCCACATTGTCTGTGTGTAACACATCCACATAAAATATTCCACATTGTCTGTGTGTAATGCATCCACATAAAACATTCCACATTGTCTGTGTGTAACGCATCCAGATAAAATATTCCACATTGTCTGTGTGTAATGCATCCACATAAAATGTTTCACATTGTCTGTGTGTAACGCATCCACATAAAACATTCCACGCTGTCTTTGTGTAACGCATCCACATAAAATGTTTCACATTGTCTGTGTGTAACGCATCCACATAAAACAGTCCACGCTGTCTTTGTGTAACGCATCCACATAAAATATTCCACATTGTCTGAGTGTGATGCATCCACATAAAACCTTCCACATTGTCTGTGTGTAACGCATCCACATAAAACATTCCACATTGTCTGAGTGTGATGCATCCACATAAAACATTCCACATTGTCTGTGTGTAACGCATCCACATAAACCACTCCACATTGTCTATGTATAACGGATCCACATAAAACATTCCACATTGTGTGTGTTACGCATCCACATAAAAATATTCCACATTGTCTGTGTGTAACGAATCCACATAAAACCTTCCACATTGTCTGTGTGTAACGCATCCACATAAAACATTCCACATTGTGTGTGTGTAACGCATCCACATAAAAATATTCCACATTGTCTGTGTGTAACGAATCCTCATAAAACATTCCACATTGTCTGAGTGTGATGCATCCACATAAAACATTCCACATTGTCTGTGTGTAATGCATCCACATAAA